CACCCTGGGCAACGTATACTCATACGGCAAAAAAGTCTATTAACCGGCAGTTGACTTCTGACTTCAAACTATCATGGCCCGACTGCTTGTCATATTCGTCCCCTTTCACAGCACTCATCTTACCCTTTTTTACCTTTGTGTCTGTCTGCCTCTTTTACATCTGTGAATCGCTCTTCTGTTCCCCACCCCTCGACTTTCTGCTACTTTGATTAACCTTCCCTCTGTGAGGCCCGAAGTCAGCCAAATGGCTAATGATAGCTCTCAAAATGCCTGCCATTTGAAATAAATAAATAAAATAAATGTATTTTAATGGTCATGCTATGTGGTATGCACACAACCCAAATAAAAGCGCTTCAGGTCATACGTCTGTTGCGTCTATATCGACGAGGGAACCATTCGAACTCAAGAATCATATTGTAGAAATTACCGAGCATAAATCAATGCTTTTGAGAAGCAGTTCAGTACAGTGTCCACTAATTAAGCTCTTCAAATGTCATCTCTTTGAAATATACATCCTAACAAATTTTTGTTGTTTCTACTGGATCGCATTTCAAGAACCAATACACCTCAGTAGACTTGATGTCTGATAGCACTTATACTGCATAATAGCGGGCAACTGAATGAGGTAACTCAAAATATTTATTCTTTCTTAATTGTATTATTTTTTCTTTGAATAGATACTGCGTAAAATCGAATTTTATATGCTTGAAATTCAAGCTATTAAATTATTAATTTGATCTTCTATTTGGTTGTAAAGCTGAATAGATTAACTTTGCATATTATATGAAATTTCGTGAAATTAAATAGTTTTATCGTTGCAACAATGCTTTGTTTATGCTTTTTCATCTCGACAGATCAGGTCGTTTTATGCCTTTGCGTTGATGCATATAGACCCAATTACCAATTTCTGTTCTTTTAAACAATTTTGAAGGTCATTATTTTGCCTGAATGGCCATGCAAAACTTTGTAAGATTAGAGGCGTGTTAGTATTCATAGATTAGGCTAACAGACGATTACTAGATATTGTCTGTTAAAATTACACCATACAATCAAATGCAGTAACTCAACTGCTTATCAGATCAACTGAAATCACAACTAAAGCCTCTCTTGCCATATTTATGCAATGTTTAAGCTAAATTAAGTCGCAAGTTCAGTTCAGTAGTAACTTAAATGACTGTTTATACAATTGTTCAACAGAAGGTGGTTTTGGGTCGGGTAAAATTAACCAACTCGCCGTGGCGTTGAGAATCTTGCTTTATCCTGTTCTTCGTACAATAGCAAATGAAACTACAATTTTCAATTGTGGAAATCAATTAAAAATGGTTAAAAGTAATCCCAATGAATGGTAATCGAGAAACGATTAAAAATTGAAGGTGTCAAAGGGGCAACATCCTATTCACTCCGAGTACATATTTCAAAATTCACATTTCTAAGTTTGCCGTTTGGATTGAGTCAAGTGCTTGGCTAAGTGTTCTGTGCTTAACAACTAATATTATTTAATCAATAAGAATTGATCTTGGTACTTTACAATACCTAGAATTTTTATTGGTAATGAAGGCAATGAGCCGATTTGTAAAATACTTTACAATTGCTAATGAACCCAATCCTTCGATCCATGTTGGCCAATTCTCAATCCTTTTAAAATCAATGAGCTAAAAGTTTAAAAAAGAAAATTATCACCAATTTGAAATTTTTGACTTTTGTAACTCCTCTAATTTGCTAAGAGTAGCATGGAAACTTAACAATTTGGAGTAAAATCGAACCTTTATAGAAATCATAAGTTACCATTCTGCCCAAAGGAAAAAAGTCCATTTTAATTTCGGTTTTACTAGTTATGTGGCTTCTCATCTAAGAACTCCTATTTTGCACCTTTCGAACTTCACTTATAACGCACCTTAGGAAGCTTCCTTCTCCGACATTCATAGTTTACTTCCTAACTGTTTGAGCTGAATGTTTAGTAATGTCAATTAGATTGGTTTTGAACGTTTTACAGCCATAAGTAACGTTTGCGCCATAACAGAACCTATAACAGTTCATCCAATATGAAATCCGGGAAGCAAGTTCGAATTCCTGTCTTTGAGTGATGGCATATCATTAAACAAGATAACATTAAATAGAACAAATTAGTGTTCATCAGTGTCTATTGATAAATTTGGAACTATTTCCAAGATGAAATCCCATATACAAACTTTCAAGCCTTTTAAAGTCGTACCTTCATGCTTCAATCGATTTAATTACTGAAAACAAAGACCATTTAATTTATTTCATATTGAAATACATCACAGCGCAGTTAGAGGATCAAAAAAGTAAAAAGATACATAAATAATTTGTGACTCTGTGCAGGTTTTTAGTCGTCTAAGAACTCATGACCAAGCATCAAACAAACACCGATTAGCTAATTTCAGCTCTTGAAAATACTCCTCAGCCTCAATTCGCGTCATCGCTCCATGCTGCTGAAAGATCTGCACCAGTGTGTGTTTTACGTCACGGGCCATGTTCTTGGAGTCACTGGAAAACAGGCAATAGGATTTACTAACCGAAAACAAAAAATAATACTATTGAAATTATTTAAGTACATACCCGCAAACGTAGAAATATCCACAACGAAATTTTAGGAGAGCCCAAATGGTTTCAGATAGGTCACGCATTAAGTGTTGGACGTAGATTTTGTGTTCCTGATCACGAGAATAGGCTATTTGGAGGTGAGAAAAAACTCCCCTCTCAAGAGCTTCATTTAATTCGTTAGGGAGAATGCAATCTTGACCACGATTTCGACAACCGTAGAAGAGCATTGCTTCACCCAATCTCCCACCTTTTGACTTGATAAAGGTTCTCTCTTGAAGAAACCCTAGGAATGGCGCAATACCAGTGCCAGCACAAACCATAATTATGGGAGTCAGGGGGCTTCGAGGCAGCTTAAACTCCGAGCGTCGCAAGTAGACAGGAACGCTGTCACCAGGACCCAAACTCCCGAGGTAGGTGCTAGCAACCCCCGCGTGTAGTCGCCCTGAAAAAAAATGAAAAATAAAGTTTAAATTGAAAAGAATTAATTAAGGAGTTTCCTTTTGCTATGAAAGCATTCACCGGATTTACAGGACTGTTATTTATTGAAGTGTTGTTTCCATTTACCACTGGAACCCAACGACAGTAAATCTATTAATGATGTCAATGAATAAAAACAAACTATACCGCACACCTTTAGTTTTGTAATAGCTCTTAAACCCAAACTGTGAGAATACGAGAATAGGCGCTATCCTTAAGGAAGAGTGGATCGATGCAATGCGACGATATCTAACAAAATTTACTTTTCCCACACACATAAACTCTAATAGTGAGATTCCATTTTAACTCATCAGCAGATGGCCGAAGACGATAGGATTTCGAGTGGCCTCAAAATAAAATTCTACTCAGCGGTAGTGAAGATGACAAAACAACACCCAACGCTACTAAACCGATGGCCAATCACAGAGCAAGCACTCCCATTTAGAGCTCTACGACAATACGTAACGATACTAAAGCCAAATGCTTTTTTCCGATATCTTTCATAATGAGCTGGTAGCTCTCCACTAACTTCAAACGATTATAGCAATATTAATGACAGGACTTAAGTTGTCCTGGAGCATGGACATTACCAAAACTATTACAAATATTTCACTTTTGATTGACTTAGTAGTGTTAGAATATGCCTTAATGTTTCAAAGCACTTCGATTAATCAGATACGTACCAGTGAGGGAAGTATATTCCACGGCCTTGACAATAAGCCGAAGTCGATTAGGTTGATATCTGGATGAAGATGCGACACTGTAGAAACGCGGCTGCAAACGGGGTAGTAGCCGACAGATCAAATCTGCCGATGGCCGACAGGAAGGCAAATCCTCCAAAACTTCAACAATACCTCTCATCGAAGCTAGAATCCACCGTTCATACGAGTTCTCATCATTCTAAAATTTCGCAGACATAAGACAGGCTATCTTATTACGAGCAGCTGGTATATTCGGTGGCTTAGAAATGACCATATTAGTAAACAAAAAGCAAAATTTCCAATAAGGGATTTAGGAGTGATTAACTTTTCGTTAGGTGAGGCTATGGAAAACAATTCCTTTTGATTAACGAGGAGAGGTTATTTACTATATTGACAAATGAGAATAATAACGGCATTATTTCCAAACTTTTTACCCTGATCAACACTAATCTTTGAAATCCTTGTTTAGCCTCTTCTCAAAAACAAGGGCTTCGAACACTATTAAGATCAAACTTTACTTCTTTAACTACACGAATGAGAAGTCGCCGCTCTTGAAAACTGAAAATTTAGAAGGTAAATTCAAATAGACCGCAAAGCACTCATTTTTCTGTCTGAATCTTCGAGATCAAGAATCATCAATTACATGGAATTTTAGTTATAGGTAAATACACTAAAATTTTACTACCATTATAGACTAAATACAAATAGGTGTTGGCTGGTTTACCTTATCTGACTCCGGTTTGATGAGGTTCTGAAGAAAGGAACGCTCCTTTTCTGATTCCGTATGATTGATAAGAGCTTCAATTAAATCAAATCGAATTGGGGACGTTATATCCAGGTAATGTGTGAACGCGGTCATATATGTACATGGAGTGGGAAAGCGGCTTGGATACTTCTTAGAAGAACCTAAAGGATGGAAAGTCTAAATAAAAGTAAGCATCAAACAGGAGCAATAGATTACAGTTTGGGGCACAAATTACGACAACCAAAATTACTGAATGTGTCTTCAAATCAAGTGGATCATCATCTACATGGATATAGACTTGATAGCTCATATGCCTAGACACATGGACTCAGTGCATGGGGAGCGCCAAAGATAGTGGGTTCGACTCTCATTATCACCCATCTAATGAAATTCTCTTTCCTTAAATGAACCTCTGGATTACTAGAGAAGCATACAAGAGACAGCTTTTAAAATTTTCAAAAGCAAATTCGGACAAAATGTGAAAGCCAATATGTACAGCACTTTCGTTCAATCAAAATGAAGTCTCCATTTAAGCAGATATTCTAATAGGATGATTAGCAGATGTCATTTAAAATAAGACGGTTAGAACTCCCAAGCTCAAATAGCAAAGAGCTTTCCAACATTCATCTTGGGGTCTCTTAGAACAGTTCGCCATTCTACTCAGTGGATTAGTACTAGTGGGCATCGAATCTGCGACGAAAGCACAAACCGCTGAGTGATCGACGTTGAAGTTTAAACAAATATGACGATAAAATAGATAACAATAGGCAATATTTAATGTACTAACTCGAAAGACTTCGGATTTGGATATAATCCTGAGGATCAACGTTCAAAAGGTTACACAATAATAGAACCAGCTTCTCTAAATTACGTGGAAGAATAGCCAAATGATCACCAGCAACATATCTGCAGAAAGATAAAAGAATAATTTAACGATGAGAGAGGAAGAAATGAGCACGTGAATATATTTTTAGTTAAACTTACTTAATATCCGATTTGTTGAAGTCCAGTTCAATCAGCCTACATGAACGATCAGAGCACGAATAGAGCTCTGAATTCACAATAATGGGAGCCACAAATGGATTAACTGGCGAGAAGGAACTATAAAATGGTGTGAGATAGATGAGAAAATTCAAATTTACGGAGCATTGAATCGGTAAGAGTTTAGATGCCCTGGTTCACCTGTAAAAGCGCCTCCAAGGGATTCAACTTCTGAAGCAGTTGGATGAGTGATTTCGTATTCATCTTCTAGTATCGGAAGAGCATCAATTTTGCATTCTGTAAGCCCATAGAGCTCGCAAAGGGACACTTGCCAATTACGAAAATCGGCCTCAATGTTATGAGCACAATCACCAAGACAAATTGGCATTTTTCGAACACCTCGAAGTTTATGAAATCTGCAATCGACTTGCTTTGCAAACTCATTAAACTCCAAGTAGCTTGAATCACCGAGCCCAAAAACTACAAAATTTAAATCTGGAAAGCTATCTCCCCGTTCACGAAGCCAAATGTCAAAATCGAAAACATCATCTGGAGGCTTTCCATCACCATATGTTGCAACAATAAAAATATTTAAATTATTCTCCCCATAAACTAGAGATTCCTAGATAAAATAAGACTTATGTACTGATAGGCGCATATTTACTTGATCAAAATTATTTAGATTGGAAACAAAGGCCTTTACTTTGGGTGATTGGGAAAGAAATTTTTTAAGGGAATAGGAATAGCGCTCAGCAGTTCCACTTTCGGTCCCATAAAAAATTTTAAATATATATGAAGGAGAGATATTGAAAATTGCGTGCCTTCTTTGATATAACCAATATAAAATCAGTGCTGATGCGGAGCTTATAAGAATAGAATTAAGAGTAGTAGCCATTCTGTAACAAAATATAGAAACACATGGATCAGAAAATAGCAGCAAATAGCCAATAGGCAAAACACGTGCAGTTAAGGTCAATTTCACGGTGAAGGTTTCAAAGAATTCCTATCGAATATCAGTTTATAACTTATAAATATCACTGATTTATCTTATATACTTTCTAACTATAAATCAATTACCAGTTTTTTTATTTTAATTATGACCATGGTTAACACGAACGTTCAGTCTCGAGATATATACGATGTCAGTAAGTTGCTAAGATCTCATCATTTAGAAAATTGGAACGCAAAATAGCTCATCCTTGAGATATATGGACTGAGTTTTCATGTTTAATGATAAAAGTTATCATTTCACTTCACATTGCCTAGCTATTATTAAAACTTCGACTGTATGAATTAATCAATCAGTGTTTGCCACATTCACAAATATGTTGAAATTTTAATGTAACATATATACAATCTGCCAACAAATTCTTTTTACGTGTAAATATATTACTATAAAATCAAAGGGGTGATTGTCACTTCTCGTCGTTTTCAACTCAATGATTTTCTGTTCAAATAAAATAACTCAATTTACTAGAAGGAATTGTATTAAATTTCAGCTCGATTGGGAGTATTTTATTTATGCTATTTTGTTATAAACCGCACCATTAAAATAATTTAGTATTGCTACTTACTTTCGGAATTTATTGCTCATTTGGAGGATTATGAGAATATTAAAAGTGACGGGGAAATATTATCTATCAACTTTGACGAGTTTATGATGTTATTAACGAACCTTTCAGTTATTCAAGTATCGGATACTATCCCAACGCTTTGATATACGTTTATGTGCTTACCTGCAGAATTGAAATTCTTTCATTAAGTAATTGGACAAAATGCAAATTTATATTTATGACGTGTCTCCGGTTTTATAAACTGAATAACATTTCCCGATTCTAGAATCTATTCGGTGTTGAATTCGTCAACCCGAGGAAATCGGTCTTGTAAAACTTTTGCCCTAGCGAATAGACAAGTGGCAAAAGTTGTTCGCAGTGTGGAGACGGGGTTAAAAACACCTCCTCTCCTTAAGTCGAACGTTTCCTTTCCGATTTCCCGATCGTAAATTCCATAGACCTCTATTGTTTTCAGCTCCACTGAATCCAACAAATGAAAAAAATATTTCATGCTAGTGATATAGAGATACAACAACCGCCAATACGTTTAAAGGTTTATTTTGTCGATTTGAGGGCATATATCGCAGTCTGAATATCTCCCCATTCCAATAATTGCTAAATCTGAATTGATAGGATGGTGACAGTATGACAGAGTGAACAGGAAACTTCTATCAAAAAGAAGGAGACAGTAAAATGGATGCTTATATTTTGCAATATTACCATTGAACAGGCCTCATATTGGTTTCCAAATTGCAAAGGTCCCGGTGCTTGATCGTACCATACAAATGGAAATGGATAATGAGACAAACTATATGGAATTCAGACATGGAAGCCGAAATATTAGAGTATCTCATGCAACCTTCTATGGTGCCAAACACTCGATCGTTGCCTTGTTTAGTCACGAAGTGTCCTAAATGTTAAGGAAGTTGAATTCTATAATTTTGCTATAAAGCTCATCTTTTGGTTTCTTGAAGTCTAGGACTTAGGGTAACTAGTAAGTTTAATTAAGTTTACATCGTCTGGTTATTTGAAAACAAAGGTATCATAAATAATTTCGATATATGGGTTTAAAAACCTGTGAGGGCAAGGTACTTTCATTAATTCTGTATGCCTATCAGGCATATCATGTTCAAAAGCAAGGGTTTACATTTGAATTTAGATGATGTTTTGAATTATGTTCTAGTAAAAATGCATTGTTACATATCACAAAAGCAAAGTTTGTCTAATTCTACTGAGGAATAATATAAATCAATTAAAAGTCTAAACAAAATTGATCATGCCCAAAAGAAATAAAATAAGTAAAGAAGCGTAACTTCGGTTTAAAAATCTCTCGTTTCAAGACCAAAAGACAATAGTTTGAGTAAATTATTATTCAAGTTCATTGGGGGTTTTAAGTGCTAAGCGCTGATAGTATCTGCACTACAATGCATACCGATAAAAATAGTAATAATTCATCATCTATGAAGCAAAGTAATAAATCATAAGAACTCCAAGAATGGGAATATTTGTGCAATAAAAATAATCTGAAATATTTTACATTCATTTTCCTATGAAAGTTACCAATGTATTGAAAAATTAAATTTAATACTTGCATTGCATTTATTGGCAAAAATGTGCATTTAAAAATTAATAGTCTGTTTTAGTACTTTCTGTTAAACCGCGTTACTTAAATATTACCCAACGTGAACGCTGTCAGCCTTTTTATAATGATGTCCGCTGATTCTGTTGTTGTTAAAAGGGAGACTGTCCCAGGAGTATTATACTTTTCTTCCATACCAACGGGTATGAATGTTGCGATGCTGACTGATGAGCTTAGTCACTTCGGCAAAATCAATCGTGTTTACCTTGTTCCCAAAAAGTCAAAAAAGGAAAAAGCCCAGCGTTTATACTCTGAAGGCTGGGTCGAATTCTTTAAGAAGAAAAATGCGAAGGAAGCTGCCCGTGCTCTAAATTGCATTGAAGTTCCCGGTGGAAAGGTAAGATGTGCAGTAAAATTATTAAACTATTTAGAGAAAACCTTGGTTCGGTGAGTTGTGGAATGTACAGTATCTCCCTAAAGTTGCCTGGGGCGATCTTTTTGCTATTGAACAAAAAGATGAGGAACAAAGACGTATTCAAAAGGATCGTGACATTATTGCAGCTAAAAGGCAGGCGCGTCAATTCAAAAATAGCTTAAGTTCCTACAAATTAGAGGCTAAAATGCGGGCTTCTAAGAAAAAGTGAGAGAAGAACATTTTTATGTTTGCCTGATGTCATTTTGTTTTGTTGACTTTCTTTTTGTTTGTAGGTTTAAGGAAAGGAACCCCCTAAATTTGGACAAATGTCAAAAACCAACCGAAGATGAAATCAAGGAGCGAATAGCACGATCTGGTCGGACTGTTCCTGAGGGTATTGAAGGATTTTCCGCTTTAACTGACAAAACTTTCATGGATAATCTTTTCTCTGGTGGCTTGTAAAGTATGTTCTGATTTCTCTACCTTGTACACATTTCCCCCCATTTTGTAAATAGAGTTGAAAGATTTTGTTATCAATTAATAATTTTCTTTAAATTCATTTTCTTCAATGGGCTCGTATAAATTTTCTGCGGTTGGATTATCACTTCTCAGTTTGTAAAACCTTGTGTACTTTCATCAAGCTTAGTAGATATTATTTATTTGATGAAGTTTTAGGTTTCGCCAATTTGGTGTTCCTGCCAATTATTAAAAGTTCTAAAAGTGTAAACTGGTCCTTTCCCATTGAAAAATCGGCTTTCAACAACATTTCATCTAATAAAATTAGTAAGACTGTTCATTCATTTCACTTTTACGCAAATCAACAGTGAAATCGATAACTCTTATGTGGAAAGTACATTCATTGTTCTCTGACAAGTGCCTTGGGGTAAATATTCTGTTAGAGAACTCCAGAGATGGCATTTATATTGCCGAAATATAATCCCACCGAATCAAATTTTCTGGAACACCGTTTAGGATTCCGTTGGGTTTTCATTGTGAACTAAATCAAATGTCGCTGTACCATAGGATTACCTGTAAAGCAATGCTACTTACTTTAAGCTTATTAACAAAACTCGGTTAAATCAGATTAGCTCTTAGCGTCATATTGACTTGAGCGTTGGGGGAAGAGAAGCATTGAAATTGCTTGAACAATTGTATGAATTAATAACCTGTCTTAAAATTTTTTACAGCGTGGATGAAAACTTTCTCAGGAACCCAGCAGACTCTTAATATACCGAGTTGAACTGTACCCACCGTGTGGAAAGCTTATAATTTGACTCCGATCAATTTCAATACTCTTATTGGACTAATTAACTATTTCCTACTATCAGATGCTTTCGTAAATTTGTATCTCATCTTGGGAAATACCTGCGTAGGAAACACATTTGATGTGAAAGTTAAAAAATTTCGCAATATAGGATATTGAGGTCATATTTTTGTTGTAAAGTTTTATGGTACTTCTTTGAGAGACAGGTGCCTACTGATTTTAATAGGGAATAAAGGAACTATTATTGCGAGTTATAAAACATTATTACGATTTACCATTCTATTTTGTGCATTTTCGTTTCTATGAGTTTGCTCTACGTATGTAAACCATCAGGTTCGTTGTTACTTAGAGTATCATTAAATCGGCTCATTTTTTACCAACTTAAAAGGGAATTGGAAATACTGTTTTAATCATCTTCTACACAAATACGAAATCTACAGTTTTACACTTACCATTCGAAACTAAATTCCACCTTGATTAAACTGTACGTTTAGGTAAGGTGGTTTAATATCACCTGTCCAGCTAAAAACGATGTCAAAATACATTTGTCTAAAGGCCAAGTTAGTTAAACATTTGTACTTTAATGCGACTTGTATTCGTCTTGAAGAAATGCCATAAATTACCATGGAAATGAATGTTTCTCTTGCTAAGTAATTATCTGTCTTATTTAATTTATTCCAACGAAGATCTAAATGATTAATATTTAGTGTAGCAGATTTCGAACTCCCCCCCCCCCCCCCCTCCTGGTAATATCCGATGCGAAACTAACTTTCTATATTACGAGGCTATCTAATCAATCGTGAAGAGGAATATTTGAAAGTGGTTGTTAAACACTCAATTTTACTTCAGACATGGGATTTATTAGAGTATTAAGCCGAGGAAACTAAATTTGGTTAATTACTTTTCAGTTACTGTTTGGATTTTGTAATTGAACACTATGGGAATTTAATGTAAGTAGTCTATCTTTGATTTGAGCGTTTGTCATTTTAACCAGACTTTTCTATATATAGCAATATCGATTTTTTTACATATCGCATTATTGTGATACGATGACTCCCACATTAGCATTGATTCATTTCATTTTCCTAGACAAATATCACAGTGATACATATGAATGCTGGTATGTTTGAAGTACATGTCTGAGTGTTTTATCCGCATATAGCCACTCCACTCAGTGTCATTGTTATGTGATAAATGCATTCCTTCCACTATGCGCTTCCTTTGTGTGTGCGCTCCGCGTTATTACTAGTGAAGCTTTAAAGGAGCAGAGCAAGATATTGCACTCGGTGTCAAGATTGTTTCCATCTCTGGAAAATTATAAATTTAACAGCTAAGCTATTGGCGTGAGGGCTTTATTGAAAACAGAAAAATTCTCAGGCAGAGAATGGTGTTAAGGGTGACTGTGCATAATGAAAAATGTGGGATGAATTGTGCTTATTGAAGTAGATGGTTATTCGAGTACATAATCTGTGTATAGTTTGAGCCTTAGAAAAAGTGGTGCTTCAGATTTGTTGGATAGTCAGCTCGAACCAATAGACTGAGGGCTTGAGTGGAGCCCTTTCTACAGAAACATTTTTTATTTATCGATCGTATTAGTTAATCTTGTACGAGGTGGTAATGTGAATTGGTGCAAACGGAGTCAAATCCTGTCATCTTAAGTGCGCATCAATATGATGTGAATGTTGGAACACAGAGTATTGCTCCCAGGGGAAAATACAAGCTGGAATCTGATGTTAATTGAAAGCAAAAGTTGTGTTTGAGAATTTCCTTAATAAGAGTGGCAACCAAGTCCTTTGCAAACTTTGTACCCATTCAATTAACCTCAACAGTCCCTTCGAAGTTAGGTTTTATGTTTTGAAGACAACTTTATGTATGATTTACATTAGAATAAATTGTGAGCATAATATTAGGAGTAAAAAAGTTTAATGTTATCGATTAAAGTACAAAAAGTGTGCCATAGAATTGGTATTTGGGATTATCTATTTCTAAGTGAAATTGGGCTGAAGGGCGACTTCTTCTCCATAATTATTATTTGTGTTATCCATTCTGGATTTGATTAATTCACAGGTTCTGAAATATTTCATAGAATTGGAGGCCTTTGGGTATTATGCCCAAAAAGTGCTTATGCAGTTTGTAAAATGTAAAGATCACTTGTCATTCAATGTCAATCGGAATTTCTTTCTAACATGAAGATAAAAAGTAAATAACCTGAAAATTTTTTTAAAAAAATATTCACTGGTGTGCTGAGATTTAATGTTCAATTTAATTACTTATTTATACCAAATGGCAAGGTTTAATGTTAGTTATCATTGACCCTTTAGTTGACTTCGGGCTTCACGGAGGGGAGGAACAGAAGAGTGATTCAAAGACGTAAAGGAGTTAGACACAGGGCTAGAGAAGCGGTAAGATGAGTACTGCGGAAGTGGTTGAATATGACATGCAGTCGGGTCATGGTAGTTTGAAGTAAATTTCCGGTTTATGGAATTTTTTCCATATGAGTATACGTTGCCAAGGCTGCACCACGTGGTGGTAAGTCTATCACACACCCCTCTAATTTAATTATGCCTTGTGTGAAGCTTTCCTTTTATATCTCTAAAGCACTGAGTGGAAGAGACTACATATAGGAGATTTTAAATAGAGTTGTAAATCATGACCGAAGCGTCAAAGGAGCCTTATAAGATCTGATCTTGTTATGGTTGCATAAATGGCAAAGAGTAACTTTTGGGACTGTGAATGGTGGTTGAAATTAGAAGGAGGCAAGACGGAGGTGGTCAGAATTTGGTGGAAGAGAAACAGAAATCAGGAAGAGGCGAGGTGAATTTAAGAGTGCAATGAAGATGTGGGCAATAGGAAGTGTTTTTGTTACTCAATTGGCATTGATTTTTCACTGAGAAGGCTTAACAATAGCAGAAGAAATGAATGCGGACCTAGCAACGTCTACTCAAGAGCCACTTTTAAGTGGTTAGATTATGTTAATTAAAAGTGGGGTGTGCGATAGACTTACCACCACGTGGTGCACCCTGGGCAACGTATACTCATACGGCAAAAAAGTTTATTAACCGGCAGTTGACTTCTGACTTTAAACTACCCTCACCCCATTGTATGTCATATTCGACTACTTCCACAGTACTCACCTCACCGTGTTTCTACCTTTGTGTCTGTCTGTCTCTTTTACGTCTGTGAATCATTATTCTGTCCCCCTCTCGACTTTTTGCCACTTTGATGTTCATCTTCCTTTATGTGAAGCCCGAAGTCAACTAAAAGGCTAATGATAGTTATCATTTGAAATAAATAAATAAATGTTAATTAAAAGTAACCACCTGAAGATACACGATGATTCACCGAGTAAGCTTGAGGTCAGAGTTGGGGGTGTGAGCACCAGGTAGAGGAATCGGGTAACAACTTTAGGATGAGGAATTTAATTGAGACAACTAATGTTTATTGATTGGTTGTGTAATAATGATAGCCAGTCTAACCAGTTCACACACATTTTTTTAAAACTAAATCTGAAGAAAGTTAAAAGTCCTTACATGATGGAAAATAGCAAACGC